TACTTGATCACTCAACTTCAACAGAGTTCTTGGTATAGGATAAGCAGAAAATCAAAAACACCATGGCCAACAGGGCCATTCAGTCCTTACAATGCCTTCAAAATGAACATAGTACCTATTACTCTGGCTAGAGAAAAACTGATAATAACATAGCAACTCAACGCTTTCCACCGCCGCCACCAAGCTTGGGACCCTTTGGTGCAGAACCCTTTGGAATGTTACCCTTGCCACCTGTCTTCTGTTGCTTTGCTGCTACTTCTGCTTTCTTAGCCTTCTTTTCATCCTTGGTTTTCTTGATCCTTTCCTTGATTTCTCTACAGAACAGGTGTACGGTAGATATTTCCATAAATACACAGCATAATACAAGTCTATATCAGCAGTGACAAGGAACGAATTAAACTTATATGTGAAATGAAAAAACCACACACCGGAGAGCGGCTTCCCTGGCAGCATCACGAACTTCTGGTTTCTCAGTCCTCCTCTTCTGGATCACCTCTAAGGTAGCACCCACAATGGATCTGGAGTAAGGCTTCTTAGTGGTACGTCTCCTCTTCTTCACAGCCTCTTGGGCAATGTCCTAAATCCATGTAACAACAGAAAAATTGATAAAGATTGGGCGTGTGAAAACAACACCTTATAGAAGTTAGTTATTTCCATCCAACCAAGCAATCATCTGATCTTCAGACAACTTTTATCAGATAAACATAACAGAGACTGAATGAGATGCTCAACGACAATCGGTTAATCAACTTAATTTTTCTATACAAATAGCAATATATAAAAAAGCTGATTGATAAACAAACATGATGACTTGCTCACAATCTAGATGTAATACTTAGAATGCTGCTGACAAACAACACGATAAAAAAAATCTTCTGTAATGAAATTGAGTTTACAAAGCTGACACTCACCTTCTTATGTTGTTTCCTGTACATGGCTGTCCAAGTAAGCTTTGACGGCTTCAGACGGTTGTGAAAGTACCTCTTGCATTTTGAATTAGAAAAGAGGAAAACCTAAACAAATTGATGAAAGAAGACAGTTCATTACCAGTAAACTATTATAACATCAACCACTTCAAATCAGTACTGGAACAAAATTTACCTGAGAATCAGAACGAACAAATCTGATGCCTTTCCCTGGGTATATCTTGGCACCACTAAACCGGCAAAGCTCCGTCCTAACATGCCAACATCACACAGTTTAGTACAAGGTTTGGAAGATCAAATATACAAATTTTAGGTTAATACAAGAAAGCCAATAGAAAACAACAATTCCCAAGGATATTTAAACCTAATCTTACTTATCCCTGCATACAAACCTAACCATTCACTTAGATTATCACAGAATTAACTCAATTAAACAGTCACTGCCATTAACATAAGCAGAATTATATATGCAGTTCTCCCTAACACTCGCACTTTCAAAATGACATGACCTCTCGATTGCAAAAACTAAACTAAACTAATTTTCCATTTCCACCTCTTAACTAGAAATTAATTATTTATTTTTCCATCAAATTTCGGCAGCCAGATACTTTCTTTTCCTTAATTAGTTTAGAAGTATTAGCTTCAATAAATTAAACGGATAAAATCGAATCGCATGTCACATTATCCGATTTAAATTTGCAAAACTTCAACAACGAAATTGTAACACAAATCTGGCTAACACGGAATCGAACATGTAAAGTAGAATTAAAAAAAGAAAGTTAGCAGAAAGTTTAATTCCTACCTCAACTTTAACTATGATCAAAGAAAAGACTATCAATAATCATGTATCAGGCTAAAACATAAGCAAATGAAAGGCGGAACAGGCAGTCAACGGATTTTTAATTTTTACAAAATGAAAGGAACGTTTTTTCAAGATCAGATCATTAAATCATGATTTATGAATAATTTAAAGAAAAAAGAGAAAAATTAGAGAAGTGCAGTACTTGAGAACCATGGCTGCTGCTGCTGCTGCTCCTTCGCTGTGGAAACCCTAGAAACCCTAGCGACGGTTGCTATGTATACCAAGGATTAGGAAAGAACGGCCCTTATCTTGTTTTAAAATCACCAAATTACCACCAGTGAGCGGGCCACGAGTGGTAACATTGTGTCTCGATAGGCACATATTGGGCCATACTGATGTGGTCCAACTGGAGATGGATTTGATTTTATCAATTGGACTCAAAGTCCAAAATCTTGCACCTTGTTATTGTTACTGTTAAACGACAAGGAGCTTCTCCCCTTGATTACGGGACATAAGATCCTTGGGTTATGATCATCTGATTGCGACTTTTACATACCAAAACTTGCGTAAGGAAGTTGTAGCCTAAGGGGATGCCAGCTTTGATCACCATTGAAAGCCTTGGGTGAGCGATACTGATGTTTCTTATGATTTGTCCCCAAGTCAATACTCTATTTAATTTTTTATGTTTATATGTATTAATATCATTGGTCAAATACTATTTTTTTTCTTTAATTGGAATTGCTCTTATTTCCAATACATTGGTAAAATAATATTAAAAATAAAAATTTTTAAATCTAACTCTTTAGACTGTTATATGTATACATTTTGTATTGGACCAAATCTCCAAGAAAATTTACTTGTGAGATTTGTAACGTGCTTTGTGAGGGGAGAAGTTGAGAGAAAGAAAGAGAATGGAAAGAAAGCTTGAGTGCAGAATAACTTTTCCTCCTAGAATAAGAACTTAAATATAGGTTTTTTCATGTTAATAAAATTTAATTATTTTATAAATTATTATCTAATTATAATCTTTATGATCATAAATCTCTAAAACTGAGTTATGCTTGTTTGATCTAACTTATTTTTCAACTTATCTATCTTTTAAAAATAAAAATCAAGTCAAATATAAATTTTAAAAAACTCTTTAAAAAAATAACTTTTTTATAAAAATAAATTTTTTTAAAAAAGAGCTTATGGAAAAGCTCCTATGAGAAGCTTTTTTTTTCTTTTTTTTTTAAATATAAAAAATTTTTATTTTTATTTTAAAAATATTTTTATTTGTTAAAAATAATTACAATAATATCTTTTTGAAAAAATATCTTTTATGATAATTTTAACAAAAATTATAATTTATAAAAAAACTTATAAAAAAATTTACTAAATAATTTCAACTTAATTTTAAAAACTATTATTTTTTATAAAAGTTTTATAATAATTTTTAAAATTAAAAAAAAACTAAACCAAACAGATTCTAACTCTATTTAACAATCAAAGTCACATTTTGAGTTGTGAAAAGAAATTTAAAAAAAATCGAAAATTGATTCGAATTGTAATATTCAGTTTGATTCAAGTATTTGTCCAAACACATTTTATATTTCATAAAATAAAATAGTATTTTATTTAAAATTTTAAATAAAATTAAAAATAATATTAAAAGATGAAACGTTTGAAAAAAAATTCCAAAATATGAATCAATGAAATTTGATTCCGAAATTATACCTTGTATTCCGAAATAATTAACAAATTTGTCACTTTATTCGTTCTATCAAATTTAATTAGTAATGTATAAAACTTCTTAATCAAATTTAATTTAATTTGTCACTTTATAACCTTTTTCTTTTTCACATCGTAAATATAATGCTTTTTTAACTTTATTGTCATAAGAAAACAAAACCCACCCGACAAGGAAAAATCTAAAACCTCAAAAATTGAAAAAAAAAAAAACAAAAGTGAAAACGAGAAAGGAGGAGCAGCAGTGCAGCGCTCCCATCATCTAGGATTTTCCGATGATGATCATGATGATGATAGTGACACCTCACTGAACCACTCCATTATCGCACAGGATCACAACCCGATTTTAGACGCCACGTTTGACACAAAAAAAAAAAAAGGAAAATGAAAAAGGACAAGGGAAAGGAAAAGGAAACCCCAAATTTCAAAGTCCTTTTACGGGGCTTACACTCCCGCACAAAAAACAAAAGCCCTTTTCTTTTAATTTTTTATTTTATTTTTTCTTCAATCCGAACAGAGAAGGAGAAATTTCCATTCTCTATCTGAACTTAACAATAGCTGCAAGATCTACTGATCCTGCTGAATCTGATCAAGAAACTGTTGAATTTCTTTTTTTTTTATAAAATTTTTATTTATTTAATTTTTTAGATTTGGAAGAGAAGGGAATGGGGGACAAGAAGGGGGAAGATGAGTGGAGCGGAAGTGAGAGCGGGGATTACACGTCGGAAGACGAAGGGACCGAAGATTACCGGCGAGGCGGTTATCATGCCGTTAGACTTGGAGACACTTTCAAGAACGGACGTTACGTTGTCCAAAGCAAGCTCGGTTGGGGCCATTTCTCCACCGTTTGGCTCGCTTGGGACACTCAGCTCTCCGTACGCTTCTCTATCTGACTCTCTAGCTTTATTTTACTCCGTTTCCCTATTTGATCAGCTTAATTGGGCCGTCGTGGTTAGTAAATCTCTGTAGTTTACTGAAGAAGTTAGCTTGTTGTATTTTAGCTTAATTCTTTTGTTTGAGTAATATTTGATTAGTCTTTTTTCTCTATCCTTTATTTCAGATAAGTTATCTAAAAAAAACTCTTTTTCATTAGTTCTTATTTATTTTATTTTACTTGATAATGTTGTGCTAGATTTTATTGCCTGGAAAATAAAGGATAAAAACAGTGTAGGTTTATAAAGAATAAATTAAGAACTTTCATCGCTGGTTATGCATTTGCCGCTTGATCAATTTTGGACAATGCAACAGTGGAAGAATTTTCTGTTCTTTGAATTTAAGTTAAATGCTTTTCATTTTTTCCTTTATTTTAAATTTGTTTTTAAACTACAGCATTATGTGGCTTTGAAAGTACAAAAAAGTGCACAGCACTACACTGAGGCGGCAATGGATGAGATAACAATCTTGCAACAGATCGCAGATGGGGATAAAGAAGATAAAAAATGTGTAGTGAAGCTTTTGGATCACTTTAAGCATTCGGGTCCGAATGGACAGCATGTTTGTATGGTGTTTGAGTACTTGGGGGATAATCTTTTGACACTAATCAAGTACTCTGATTATCGTGGCTTGCCAATTCATATGGTTAAGGAGATATGTTACCATATTCTAGTGGGCTTGGATTACTTACATAGGGAGCTTTCCATCATACACACTGATCTGAAGCCGGAAAATATTTTACTGCTGTCAATGATAGATCCATCTAAGGATCCGAGAAAGTCAGGCACTCCTGTCATCCTTCCCAATAGTAAGGACAAGACAGTGCTGGACTCTTTAAAGTCTATGAATGGGGATTTGAGTAGAAATCAGAAGAAGAAGATTCGGAGAAAGGCAAAGCGAGCCGCTCAGGGGTGTGTGGAGAAGGAAGTTTCTGCAGAAGCTGATGGGGATCCTGAAACCTCTGGTGCAGCTGAGTCATCTCCCAGTGAAAAAACAAATGCGGGTTCTGTTGAACGTACCGCTAGTTCTGGAAATGCCAATAGAGTGTCTGATGCTGATTGTACAAAGGACACTGGTCAAGCGAGTCAAGGTAATAAGAGAGGAAGCCGCTCCACGAGGCGGAAACTGTTGGCATCAGTTGATTTAAAGTGCAAATTAGTTGACTTTGGGAATGCATGTTGGACATATAAACAGTTTACAAATGATATTCAGACAAGACAGTATAGGTGTCCTGAGGTGATCCTGGGATCGAAATATTCTACGTCAGCAGACCTTTGGTCATTTGCTTGTATTTGTTTTGAGCTTTCAACAGGTGATGTACTCTTTGATCCCCACAGCGGTGACAACTTTGACAGAGATGAGGTATTTTCTTTTACAATGCTGTTATCTGTTTTATGTTTTTTGCACCACATATGATGTATGTGTTTGCTTTTAAGTTTCTTAATCTCTCTTGATGAAAGTTCATTCAGGATGTGGCATTCAATCTTAGAAGGTTGTCATCAACTTGAAAAGTTAAAACAATTTATTTCCTTGTTTTTGGAAAGGAAAAGAAAATTACTCAGTGCATCTGAAAAATGAAAAGGGAGGCTATTAAATTGGGATAAAAGTGCGCATTTCTTTTGCATGATTGAACTTGTAATTAATTAGACATGGCAGCATTTTCCTTGGAGATGTTTTGCTTTTTACATTTCTTTAATATGATAATTTCATTCCTTTGATTTGGTTTGCCTGCTGCAATGCTGAAATTTAGCTATTAAGTGAACAAAGTAAAACGGAGGCTTTTTGTTTATAAAAGAAGGATTGGAAATGGAAAGAGAGTAAACTAACAGAGGTGCGGTGAAGTAAATTTGTTTCTTCACTTTTGAAGAGATTTAAAACTTGAAATGGCAGAAAATTTCTCTTCTTGTCTATTTACGTATATTTTCAGTTAGTTGTTTCACTTCACTTTTCTCCACTTCTCTTGATCCAAAAATGCTGTGGATTTTGTTGTTCATTTCCTCTACATGGTAACCTTAAGTTATCTGCATCTATAATCGTATGATTTGGAAATGATAGCTAAGCAGAATGTAAGGTTATTTATGTTTGGCAGCAAAAGTTAATTGATCAATAGGCAGTCATTCTTCTGGCAGCAGTTGCCCTTTCAAAAGTAAGATTTGGTCATTCTCACTGTGGGAATCATTTTGGCCTTTAATGTGATGCATTTTTGCTTCCTTTCTGTGGAAGCTGAACGCAAGTTCAGAAGAATAACATTGATTTATGATACATTGATAAGTCATATGATTATGCAAGGTTATGGTTTTCGAACAATATGATTGGAGAGGAGTCATATGGTTTTCAAACAAGGTTACTTGTGTGCTTCTATATAAAAGCTTTTTTGGTATTTATGTACTGGAAAGGAGTCATTGTCTTGTGCAACTGTCAGAGTAGTGGCCACTGAATGCAATTGTTTGAGGTTTGAGTTTTGAAAGTGCTCACTTGCAGCTGAAAATGCTGAATGGTTGAATACCATATGTGGATTACCTTTAATTGTTCTTAAAACTCTGGAGTGTACCATCACAGTAATGAATATGTTAATAATAATTTTTTGAATTTAGGAATTTGTCTGTGTGTGTCGATGTTTTGTGTATG